AAAAAGCAGGTACTCTTAGTCAAATTTTGCCCACTATGTCATCTTTCCAAAACCAGAAGATTGGCTCCGGGGTGGTTTGTTTATCTGCTGTGCACTGTAATGTGCAATTAATAGGAAGGGCTGAAGAGCCAAAGTGGAAGCTGTAACCTGAATCCCAGATGGCACTGCAGAGTCCTCAGTACTCTCCGTTTCCAGGCATCAGTAAGTGATACTGTGAGAACTTTCCAGTGTGGCTCTATACTTACGGCTCTTTTTTAGGTGCCTTTAAAAATGAGAACCCTTTACTTTCAAGGAACTAAATAAGTGACCAGAGTAAGTTTTTAAAATATGTAGCCTCAGTCTTTGTAAAGAAAGATCTTGGTACTATATTTTGCTGCCAGGATTGTTCTGTACCTGCAGTCAGACTAACTAGTGGGATTCCAGTGCTCTACAGTCTTCCCTTTCTCAACAGTAGTATATTTCTGTAGATCAGCCTAGTGGTGAACATACAGTGGTAAAATAAACATTTATTACTGACCTAATTTGCTTGTTAGGTGGTTGGGTGTGATTTTACAAATACAGTACTTTTGTATGTATTTAAGGACTGATCCTTGTGAAAGGCCATCAGTTAGCAAATAGGTAGTCCAGCAGTTGAGATTTGGAACTTTCTCTGCTTGGTTCCAGATTAATTAACAGTAGTTGAAAATAATACCAAAAATATTTTTCTACTGATAAAAGCAATTTTTTTATGTTATTGGGATTTTTGCGTCAGTAAGAGTGCAGTTGATTTTGTGGTGCTATGCCTAATTGTACACAAATGTTTTGAGACAGAAAATGTGTGAGTGGAGAGGTGAGAGAGTAGATGGATGTGATGGGTCTCTCTTGTTTTCCAGAAAATCGGCAACTGTTCCATCGTGAGGAGGCTTGGTGTTCAGGAGTGTATCCTTCTGGTTACACAGCGCATCACCAAATACCCGGTCTTGGTGGAACGTATTATTCAGAATACAGAAGGTAGGTTGGTCAGTCTTTCCCAGAAGCCTCACAGTTCGTTGCTGATCATTTTTCTCCCGTGTTTTGTGTGTTCTTCCCTCAGTCAAGGAAGGACGGGCTGGTACTGCCTTCTACCTGTTTTCTCACTTCTTCGTTAGCTGAAGATGCTGTTCTAGGTGAAGATCCAGATCAGTCTCGCCTCATCAAAGCGTCAACAGCAGCATTGCAGTTCCAAGTCTGCATCCACAAAGCCTGTCAGTTCACTAGAGATTGAGAGCTTTAGGATATTCTATTTTGTTTTATCTTTAAACCTAAGCTCTTAGGAAATACTGTTAGATGTTCAGTATGGAACCTTCATGTTAAAACATGTCTGGGTGGCTCATATCTTGCCTTCCACGTGACTGACTGCTACTCTTTTCTCTTAGCTGGAACTAGAGATTATGAAGAGCTGACCCAGGCCCTTAGTTTAATTAAGGACACAATCACTCACGTAGATGCCATGGTAAATGAGTGCGAGAAGGGGCAGCGCCTTAAAGAGATTATGCATAAAATGGAGCTAAAATCATCGGGGAAATGCAAGAATGGCCTTTTTTTCCGGAAGGATGACATGGGACAGAGGCGGCTTCTGCTGGATGGGATGCTGTACTGGAAAGCTGCCTCAGGGCGACTCAAAGGTAAAGGACCAGGAAGGGAATAAGTACAACTGGGAACCAAGATTTTTATTTTTTTTTTTTTAGTACCTGTTTATTACTGATCGATTGAGTATAAAATAAGATGACAATCACCTGCTTGTTTAATAGGATATTGGAGGAAATAGCACTTGTTCTATTCCTGGCCTGTCCAATAAGCATCTCTATAATGGTGCATGATAAGTTCCTTATGCTGTTTGCTTATTATCTGCCTGATCTGCTTTCCAGTTCAAGAGGGAGGTCTTCAGAGAGATGACAAAGCTTTGAGTCATACTGACTTAGTCTCCTGTGGAAAGGCATTATCTTGTGCGAGCTCTGGTTCACACTTTGAAAAAACTGTGTCATGTCAACCCCATGACACCTTCCTTCATCTGCAGAATGTCTGTTTTGCCAGAAAATCAAAACAGTGTCCATCAGTGTATATTTGAACAGCTTCATTGCTCAAGTGTTCAAGGAGAAGCTTCAATGGCACATAAAATGCAGCCGAGAGTAGGTGGTACTGTGAATGTCTGCAGTTCCAGAAGAATCTGCTGCTGAGGGAGGCTTGTTCCCTCCTGAGTGTTTGAGTCAATGTGTAGGATGCCCATGTAGGGGTTTTCAAGCTCTGTGCTGGTTCTGCATCACTGGACGCTGTGTGTGGACAACCCAAGGGGAAGGCAGTAACAGACCCAACATTGCAAATGTTGATGTGCTGTTCCCTGACCCACAGGAAATTTAAGGCAAGTGATTTTGGAGCCTGGACCAGTCTTTATGCTTTAAAATCTGCTTTTTTTTTTCCCCTCCATTGTTACTGTAGATATTCTGGCAGTCCTGTTAACTGATGTACTGTTGCTCTTACAAGAAAAGGACCAAAAATACACGTTTGCATCAGTGGTAAGTGTTGTTCTCCTTATTTAATACATTCACTTACAGTATTTGTGAAGGTGACAGTACCTACAGCAGAAATACAGTTAGATATGTTAGATATTTGTTATGGTAGGTTCAGAGGGAAAATTAAGTTAATAAACCAGCCAGCTATTACAGAATCACTTTTTTTGAAGCAGTTGTACTTGTTGAATCCCTTCCACTGTCTCTTAGTACAACACAGTGTCCCCTTGCCTTGGCCGGTTCTAGCCGACGCATCTGCTGTGGTTTTCTGGTGCCCTGAGCATGTTCTGAGGTTCACTGCTTCTCCTTTTCGTGAGTGCAAGGGAAAGTCACGGCACAGCTTTGTTAGCTACTGTTTCATACAAGCCATCTATGTTAAATCTGCTAGAACTGTGCTTTGAAAGGCATTTGCAAAGGTCTGCTTCTGTTTGCTGACGTGCAGGGAAAGACTCTTCCATTTTGGTTAGGGACATGGTAACCATGGTCACAGTAGCCCAAGATTTGCTGGTGGCAGAGAACTTTCCTGAAGTAAATGTAATAAGCACTAAATACAAATGTAATTAGCACTGCAGAACACTCAGTGGATTCACTTGCTCTTCCAGGGCATTTCCACAGGTATCCTCAGTGCAGTTAATCGTGTACATTTTGTCCTGATCTAGTTCACTTGTGGCTGTAATAGAACCAGTAACAGACAAACTATTTTATGTAATTGTTTTCCTGGGTGTATTTTTTTCAAGATACTAACATTAGGGCTGAATTCTAATGGCAAAAGCTATTTTGGTGACCTCAGGGCTGTAAAAGCAACTGCTTTTCAAATTACCTGTCTTCTAATGCACAGTATGGGGATAGTTTCATAAATCAGGATGGCTGGGAGTTGTTTCCTCTTGAACAGCATCAGGTGAACAGTTCATTTTATGACCTTGACTCTGATAGACTAACTCTGCCCTGTCTTCCAAAACCCATCTGAGCTCTGAGCAGAAGAGCAAGTTCACAGAGGGAGACAAACACACTGTCGATGTACAGTGTCTCGAGTGTTGTGGCAGTTTTCTGTAAGACTGCCGTTGCTTGGAGGTGTGTGAGTAGCTCCCCTCGAGGCTGAAGCATTGTTCCCAAGAAGTAAGAGCATGCATATGTCCTCAGTGAGCATGGCTGTTCCACTGCAAGGTCATGCCCTGGTTTGTATGTCCCCTAATAACTTTTCTGTGAGCACACATCCTAGAGTTGCTTATCACAGTCCCCAGAAGTTGCTCTCTGCTACACGGTGGATTTTTTTCCCCCTCCAGTAACACGCTCTACAGTTACAGACAGATCAGGTTTTTTGCATCTTTGTATGTATAGATTTCATTGGAAATTTAGATCTCACCACAGATAAATCAAGCGAGAGGAGCACATGGTTCTGCTCAGTGATTCTGTTTTTCCAGTGACCTCTGTTCATGGCTTGAATTGCAGTACAGCTGCTCAGAGGGGTTGGCAAAGCCGAGTGTTCCTGCCGTCTCTTTCACAGTTCAGTTTTCTTATCGTCACTCCAGATTATGCTGTGACGGCTCAGCAGTTCCAAAGAGCCATTTTCTTCTGGGAGGGTCTTTTTAGGCTGCATATATTGGACCTGTGCTGTAGGAAGCATAGATAGGGGTCTAGTAACTAATATCCCTGCTGTAAATTCATTTTCATTGCAAAGACTGACAGGTAATGCAGTTAATCCTTAGTTATGCAATATACTATCTGTCACCTTGTTTTATTATTCTCAGGGCCTGATGGCATGCTCTAACACCTCTGTGTTACGGTGTTGTTTCTTCTGCAGCTAACTTGCCAACTTAGCTTGTCTACCATTTGTTCTGTCCTCTCACTTCACGTGTCATTAAGGTTTTGTTTTCCTTTGCAAATTTTGGTTTTGCCTCTCGGAGCAAAATTTTTGAGCCTGTTTTTGACTCCTGGGACTCAGTGGGAATCCTCAGGTGTATAAACTGATACGTGTTTTAATAATACCAGGCACCACGACCTCTTGGTTTTGAAATGTACATTCTTCATTCTATATGTTGATGTGTGTTCGATGAGTGAAAAAATGACAATATCCTGTGAAGATGCCATCGCAGTAACGGTGCAGCGTTGCGATGTTATGGCTCACGGTAGCCCTGTGTAAATAGAAAGACGTGAAGCTAGGAAGCACAAACCCCAAAAACCATACATAATGTAGTGCAGTAAGTTACATTTTGTTTTACAGGACTCTAAACCACCAGTCATCTCGTTGCAAAAGCTGATTGTAAGAGAGGTAGCTAACGAGGAAAAAGCCATGTTCTTAATTAGCGCTTCCTTAAAAGGCCCAGAAATGTATGAAATTCACACAAGCTCGAAGGAGGAGAGGAATTCCTGGATGGCGCACATCCGCAGAGCTGTAGAAAGGTAAATTACGCCTGAAAGCCGGAGGGCTTGATTTCTTCCTCCTCTGTCTTCTCTTTGCGGGACTCACAGGTGTAAATTTATCATAAAAATACATTGGACTATCCCTAAACTTTCTTTGTAAGGCTGAAGCGTGCAATTCTGTTTGTGTTTGTTGGGAAGAAGCCACTCTTACAGATGCGATAAAAACCAGCCAGAGATTTTAGTCTGCTTTTTTGAAAAATAAACACAAAAATTGGCTCACTGCTGTCAAATGCACCAGGGCTTTGGACAAGAGAGGAAGGTTGACACACACGATAAAGCACATCCTAGGCAAAAGTTTCAGGTTGAATCCTGAGAGGGATTTGTGTAATGTGTAAATCAAGCTTATATCTGTCTCTCCCTTTTTACAGCTGTCCTGATGAAGAAGGAGAAACATTTAATGAACCTGAAGCAGAGAGGAGGCTGGCGGAAGCACGAGCTGCTAAGTTAAAAGATTTTCAAGGTAATGACTTAATTATATATTCCACGAACTGCTTCTTGGCATCAGTTGAGATTTATGACTGTCTTATTCTTTTGTCACCTAATGTGATGTAGTTTCTCCTTCATGAGTCTTTCAGGGTAGTGCAAGATCCTATAGAAGTAGTGAATGATAAGCTTGGTATGCTCCATGAGTTTTCCCTTCACTGTTCATTGCATCTCTGCATTGGATGCTCTGACCCTAAAATGAACGTCTTCCAAAATGAACGTTACTCTGACAGTGACTGGGAAGGCAGAACTGAGTTTGTTTCTTCCTTTAGAGCGTTTGAACATGAAAGATGACCTGATTATGCAAAGTCTGACTGAGAAGCAACAGATTTATCTAGAAATGTCTGAAATGAATGGCTTCGAAGACCATTCCCAAGGATCCCGATCTAGGCTACTTCTTCGAGGGGATATCTCAGAGAATCTGCAAGGAGAGGCTATTTTGAAGTCCGCAGTGACAGAAGGTAAATGCAATGTGGGACTGTACACATTCACTCAGGTGCAGGGGTGGGGATGAGTGCATAGGATCAAAGTACAGGACCTGAAAATCATCCTCTAATAACATAAAACTTATGTAACACTGTTCAGAGTTCCTTATTCTTGGAACCGATCTGCGAGGTGGATAAAGTGCACCTGTGTTTTTAGGTAGAGGACCTTTTACACAGCTTGGACTTTTTATTTTTAAGGATCAACCAGTGGAAACTTAGGATGAGTCTATTCAGATGGGTAACTGAGGGATCTAATAATACACTGATCCTGAAATCCTATATTATATGAGGGTTATATTTTTGAAATAGTCTATCTAAAGATAGTATATGTAGAAAGAAAATAAGCACAAACTACTTTGTATTTTGGAAAAAAATAAAACCCAAACACTCAAGGGTCAATAACCTGACTTGCAATCAAGGAAGAAGTCATTAGGAAGAGCCTGTCGCAAAGAGCTAGTCACAAAGGAAAGTTCATCCATACTGCAAGAAACTTCTCCAACTGCCCAATCTTTTAATGTACTTGAGGATTGAACTTAAAAACTCGTTAGCATGATTCACCTGTCTCGCTGCATAGACATGGCTGTTTACATGTTATGTTCTCCTCTTTCCTAGCTGAAAACCTCCAGAACCTGATCTTCACTCACTTAGGCAATGGATCTTGTCAGCCTGAGGATGGCTCTGGGTCGGGACTCCCCAGGAGAGCGGAGACCTTTGGAGGATATGACAGTAGTTCCTCACTTTCAAATAAAAGTAAGAAAGGGACCATTCGGCATTATTCTGAGCTTCTTGGCTCTTTCTCTGTACAGAGAAACACAGTGATGAGATAAGAACAATTAATTAAGTGAGGCTTTGCTGTAAGGAAGCTTCACCAGGCTCTAAAAGGAGGATAAGAAGAAATTTCTAGTATGTGGTATCAGCATGTTGCATCTTTTGCTTCTGGTACCAACGCTAGAGAGCAGAGTAGAGCTCTTGGATGGTGTTCCGGGCATTACCTTAACCCCTACTTTCTAATCACCACAATTCCACACAGAAATTAAATTTTGTTGGGAAAAAAATAAGCTTGACCTGAAAACCTAGGAAATTTGAATTCAGCTGCCTGTTTTTTTTACTGAATCATGAAAAGTCTTTTCTGCTTTCTTTATATTTGCACAGTTGCTAAAGAGTTCCTGAATCCTTATATAATAGAAATTGTCCTTGTGGCACAGATGCTTTATCAGTTAATTAATGAAATAAGTGGAAATACTAGATAAATACTGTTTATCTCCATTTTTGCTTCATGCATGTATTGATAATTAAAATGGGGTTTATTTCACTGGTGGTTAATCTCCAGAATTCTTTCTGTTGTCTCTGAAAGGCTCTACATGTCTGCCATGCTCTGGGCACTTCACACAGTACGGTTTCCATCTCCCCCTACCTCCTTCCGTGCTTACAGTGCTGCTGCTTTGAATAGAACCTTTTTACTGACAAGTATACCGTGTCAATGGCTGGCAATTCTGGTAGCCACAGACGATCGTTTTCATGTATACATTGTGGTTGCTTCACTTAAAATAACAACGTAATTTGAACTTGCTCTCCCTATTTATCTTAACCCACTCTCCTCAAGTTTTTATACTTTTTTGGGCAGTCCTACTCGTCACTGTTGCCTACTCTTCCTCTTTGAATCAGCGTGGAGAAGTGGCGTATTGGTTCTGACTTCAGAGTCACCATTTTTTAATGCCTGCGTTCTTAGTCCGGGAGTTTTCACAGCCCCTGTGCTGGTGTGAGCTACTCATACGCCACTCTTCTTTCAGGTGGTAGTTTTAGGAACAACAGTGGTGGTGACCAGAGACAGTGGGACTGGAGAGGCTCTGCAGTGAGTTCAGATGTACAACTCCATGACCTCCCTCCTGATGCAGATGAAGGATCTCAAACCGTATGTTGGGCTTATGAGTGATTTAAACACATTTCCTCCTGTTCCTCTTCACAGCAGTGCTGCAGAACAAATCGTGCAAAGTTAAGATCCGTAATAGCTGGTAGGGCTGGACTGTAACAGAGTTCTGTGTGTCACATTGCTAGACGCTGCTAAGGATGTCTTGTGGGGTGAGCTGATAGCTTCGCACTTGATAACTTTGATAACTTGCTTCTGTATTTGTTCCTTTGCTGCCATATCCAGTGCTAGCTTTAATCACCACGCCTCTGGGTCAGCCTGGCCTCTGATTTAAGTATTTTTGATAGGTGTCCTTCCTCTGATTTAACTATTTTTGATAGGTGTCCTTCAGCGTACCGGAGCAATCTCTGCTCTGGCAGTAAACGCTGTTCCCCAGTGAGGTGAACCCTTCCAGGTTGTTCTGGCAGTGCTGCCGATGCCCAACAGGTGTCTCTTGTGCCGATGTTGGTTTTGTCTCTTTTACAGAGCGATGTAACAAGGCTGGATGACTGCAGTGGTTTTCAGCCCAATGTGGAGTCTCAGGTATGATTCTTCTGCTGTTAGGAAATCTGATGGCAAAATAGCCGTATTATAATAGCATGCAAAACCAAAACAAATGCAAACCCTAAAAGACTCGGTATTTTTAACGTGGAACCACAAGCACATTAACAGCCTGTATCTTATGACTCTGATGCATTATGAATGCAGAGATAAAAGCCCCGTTGGGACACAAAGATGGGTTCTGGGTATGTAGACAAAGAGCTGGCCAACTGCTTCTCCTGCATCTTTGGAGAGATTGCGTGGTCTCTGCCAAAGCTTGCCTCTGAATCTCCTGTGACTGCCGTACCTGTGCAGTGATTCAGCACTGGAGGATGGGAGGGAGTGATCATTAAACAGCTCACGTGAAGAAAACTGGACGATGAAGCTGGAATCCCGGCGAGGTTGCTGGTCGCTGGTTTCCATCTGTGCAGGACTAACACATGAAATTCATCGTGCTTGCACGGTGCGCTGTTGGCCGTTACTGTGTTGGAGGGCTCTTGTAGCCATGCTTCCCTTGTCTGTGGTTTTGTACAGACCCCACTGACTGTGTTCACTGTTTAAAAAAAGTCTAATGCATCAGAGTTCTGTTCAAGTGTCTAATGTCTTTTTTTTTCTCGCCCCTGCCTTCCCTCCTCTTCAGCTTGTCCAGAGGATACAGACGCTGTTACAGTTGCTCTTCAGTCTTCAGGTAAACAACTGTTTACTATCCAAGAGTTGTGTTAGGCATTGAATGTAATAAAATGTGTGCAGGTGTGGAGAGGAGCTGCCTTCAAAATATCCCCTAAAGCTAGAGTGAAGTGCAGAATTTAAGACCTGAGACTGAAGGAAACACTGTGTCTGGTATTTTGAAGGAAGATCCGTTGTCTTAAGTAATTGTTTCCTTTTTCCTGCTCACTTAAATGCAATTCTTTTGCTACTTTGAGCTTCATCTGCCCTCCATGCTCACTTCTTAAAATTGTTGATACACGTGTGTGTGTTAGTTGTTTTTACTGTAACCTTGTAATCTACAATATTTTGACTGGTTGGATTCAGAGTAATAATTCTGGGTACCAGAAATGTGGACTTTGACGTAGGTAAATGTAACTTATTCTCTTAGCCATCTTCAGTTCATGTCCGTCACAGCAGGCTGACCAAGCTAGGAGTTAGCTCTGCTCTTGAAGACACAGGCCTGGTAGATGCTGTTGTCTTTTATTTAGCTGTGCGTGTGCTTTTGAACCCATGGACCTTATGCTGAACTTCTTATGTCCCCTCCAGGCAGCGATATGTCAGCAGGACACCTACATTGAGATGCAACGAGCCACCACGGTAGACCGGGAGAAGCAATACCGGCTGCAGACTACACGAGGCAACCTGCTGCTGGAGCAGGAGAAACAGCGGAACTTCGAGAAACAGAGAGAAGAACTGATGAATGTGCAGAAACTTCAGAACCAGCTGAAGCTGGACCAGCAACGCCTGGAACGGGAAAGGAGCCGGCAGCAGAGGGAGTTTGAAAGCACAGAAGCTCGGCTGCAGGAGCGTGAAGAGGAGACTCGGCAGCTGAGAGAGAAGTTGAATCAGGAGAGGGAGGAACTCGAGAGGCAGCGAGAGGCGTATCAGCATGACCTGGAGAGACTGCGGGAAGCTCAGAGAGCGGTCGAGAAGGAGAGGGAGCGTCTGGATCAGCTAAGGAAGCTAAAGAAGCAGAACACGGTGTCAGGCACGTTCTCCCCAGAAATGGGGCAGGTGAGGAATTCATTTTCTTGGAGTTTTATTTCTGTTCACCTGCTTGCCTCCAAATGAAGGATGTCCTTTTTGCAACACTGGCCCATGTTCACTTTTCACCGGGCTTGAACCATCATGTGAAGCAGCCAGTGGTGGCTACTGTCGTAGGTAGATCAGAGCTTACCTGTTCCCCAGTGTCTGAGAGATTCCACCTGGATGTTTGGTAATGAGAGTACTTTTTAAAAAGATCAAAACAGGGAATAAGTTATTTTTGGACGTGGCCAATGGAGGATGTTTTACATAGAGGTATTTCCCTGTTGCAGGCAGGTGATTGCAGGGGAGGGTGCCACATTGGTAGCATTTCGTACCGTTGGTTTCTAAATACATCTCTTACCTTTTAAAATGTGAATGTTGGGGTCTGATAAATCTGGCTCATGTGTTACTGTCTTAAAGTCCTGCTTTCTATCCATCCTGTTGTCCCCTAAAGCAATGTGCTTTTTGTGTTCCCGTGCTAGGTGCAATATTAAGGAGTCTGGAGCTGCTGAGGTTCCTTTCAATGCTCAAGGACATATAAGCATGCTCTGGGCTTTTTCTAACCTCTTGCATTTTTCACTAGAAAATGCTTTATGTTTTCAGGGCTTAGCATGGTCTCTGCTCATATGTGAGAGGGTGAAAATACCCGTTTGACTTAAAATGCCTTTTTCCCCACGTAGAACCAGCTAAGTCATTCTGTTAGCTTCAATGGAGAAGGGTTGGAACCTTCGCTACCCGCCTTGAAAACCTCTGTGAGAGTGAGCGTCGCCGGGATGGATTACCTGGAACGGCCAGACTTGGTTCGTAGGGACAGTACCACCCTGGAGAATCGTCCGGTTCTTGCGCTGAAGAACGAAGTGCCGATACATCTCCTGAGCGCAACTAATCAGATACAGAAACCAGCTGCCGTCCAGCAGCAGATTCCTACGAAGCTGGCCACTTTTACAAAAGGAAGCAAAGAGAAAGGTGGGAAGAACAAAGCATCTCATAGGACAGACAGTTCAGGTAAGTGCTTAAATGCATTTCGGATCGCTGCCAGCATCGCAAGGAGACACAACACTCTAGTTTAAACCTCTGGCTGCCCGCCTGGAACCCAGAAGATAATACACTACGAGTTGTTAGTGTGCTTGCTGCAGTTAGTAGGCTCTCAAAATTGTTACTTTAGGAATGTATACGCTATTTAAATTGGAAATACAGCCCCAAGGGATAATGTTGAAGTTCTGTAATCCAACAGGGACAGAATGATAGTGAAAGGTTGTAAATCTGGATGTAAAATCTCCTTGCCTAGCTGTGGTCTTAAAGGGAAATAGCTGGTTTGGCATGACTGAAATGTTTTGAGGCTGGCTTAACCTTTTCTCGCTGTCTGTCCAGAGTTGTAATGACATCGGATGCAATGCCTTTCTTGGCACCAGGCAGCCATTAAATACAGATTTTCAGGCCAGAATTGAGATGCTGTGTATGCTGCAGAGTTGAAACGGGCTAATTTTGTCAGGAATAGAAGAAAGTAAGAATACAGTCACCCTGCCATAGTGTAATTTCTGCTCCTAACTGCTAGGTACTAAGGGAGTGATCTTTGCCAATGACAGACACAGTAAAAAACACTTTTTCTCTACCACTTAAAATAGCCTTACGGCCAGCTTAGAAGAATGGCCTATAATTTTAAGCTATAAAATTATCTTTTTAGCTTTGTGTAGGATTCGGACTTGGCAAGCTTATCCATCACTTGGGCCTACACGGCCAAACCTGTCTAGGGAGGGGAGGAGGAAAGTATTTTGCACGTTGTATAAATGTCTGGGGTGCCTAAAGTTTAGTACAATTACAAACTTATGTTTTTGCACATAAATGAAGCCTGATATTCTCTTACCCTGAATACCAAATGAGGGTAAATGGGAAAATAAAGCTCTAATACCACATCCCTCCTCAGGTTGATATTTAATAGCTCTTACATAATGATCTCTGCAGTGGAAATGTGTACTTAATGGTGGTTTTCTGGAATCTATGTGAAAGTTATAAAACACAAATGTATCTGTGTCTATTTTCTCATGAGCATTAGTGGGACCCGTGCTCATTATGCCCATATATAGACCTTAGAATAAAATGGAACAAGACTTTCTGTACCAGAGGCAAAACACTGTGTATTGAATCTGGGGTTTGGGACGTTTAAGGAACGTGCAGTGAGAGGAGTTCTTTGGATCCAGAGGAACTGTTTCATGAATTGATTTTATTGTTGAAATTAAGAAACTGAGAGGCCGTAACACCAGCACTAGTTTACTCTGCTGATGAGCAGCTGCGAGACAGATGGAGAGCAGAGACAAATGTTCATCACAGTTCTGCCTGTGAAACGTAGCACAAGTAGCCATTTCTGTTTGAATGTTAAGGACAAAGAGAGTTTTCTCTGCATTGCTGTATCATTCGGCGTCTTAAATCTGTGGTTGTCAGGGGCTGCTAGTAACTGAGTTAGAAATCCTCACGGAAGAGGAGAGAGAAAGTACTCAAGGTCTGAACAGCTGAAGAGAGGGTTGAAGTAACTTGCAGCAGAAGCACCAGCTCGTTGTGGTGTAGCTGCTTCCTTGGCTACGCAAAGGTGTCAGTCCAGTGGGCCCAGCATGATATCGTGACAGTTGTGAAGTACCCCTAGCCTCAAATACTCATTTGTACAATATTTTCTTTAGCATCTGTTGATCAGAAGCAGCTGCTTCCCCCCAAGCTTGTTTCACGAGAGGAAGGTGTCCTGAGAGGCAGACGATCAGCAAGTCCAGTCCTCCCAAGCAGCCAGACCGCTGCGTTCCAGCCAGGTACGTCTGGACCGACTTGCACGTCTGTGGAAGTGCCTCAGGCGCCCTGTGCAGTGTCACGAGTCTCTTGTCTTCATGTTTTTCTGCAGAGTTGTATGGCCCTGCCGATGCTCAGCCGGAAGCGCTCTCATCTGCCTCAGCGAACATATTCAAGCCCAGTAATGCTCACGTTCAGACCCTGGTTACCTCTCAGCCGAGTCTGTTAAATGTGCAGGATGATACCAGCAAAGAAGATGTCATTTTCTTCTAATTGTTTCCATGTCAAGATTACTCTGATGACATACTGTTTCAAGAACTCAGGCCCCAGTGTGTGACGTGACAGAGACCTGACACGGATGTCCCGTTACCGCTAGCAAGGACCAGACCAGGATTACTGTTCTACTTTGTTGGCTTCTCTGCCAGCAGCTCAGAATGAGGGCACAGTAGTAACAATTTGCTTTTAAATCCTCCAAAACGTATCGACACATGGCATGGGTATGTAAATTCAGAGCATACTAAACCGCTGCCGTTTGTAATGTGCTCTGCTCAGAGAATGTACCCTCTCGGTGGGGACCATCATGTAAATTGCTAGAGTTGATGCTGAACCACCCAGATTTTTACTTCAAAAATTTTAGTAATAGGCCCCAAAAGGGCTGCGATTTTTTTTTTTTTTAAATCCATTTTCACAGGTGGGTTTAATGGATTATGCTAATGGCGTGTTGGTAATTAGTTGACTAGCGAGCCCGTTTCCTTCCAGCGGGGCGTGACGGACACTGCGGTACCTGCTCCCAGGAGCCAGAGTAGCGTCTCTGTTTCTTTAGTGATTCAGTGGAGCACAGGCTCAGTGGCCAGGTGCAGGGGAATAGAGAAGGTAAGCTTCTTAACAGCGTCTTCGTGGGTCTGGAGCTCCACCTGCTTGTGGATGAGAAGGGTTGGACGTATGAGAACATACGATGGCAGTGAAGAGTTGGACTAACTGCACGTGTCGTTGGCCATCGGCTTGCACTGGGATAGCTGTGTTCTTGGAGACATTGGGTAGCTCTCCGTGTGAGAGCAGCACAGGTTCCCAAGCAAAACTCGTAAGTTGGTTCAGAAGGAACTCGGAGACTTGGGTTTTGTTCTTTGCTGAAGACACGTGTAAGAAGCGTTGGAATGCAGTAATTTATTGTCTCGTTTAATCCTACGTTTTCCGCATCTTTTGTTTGTCTGTTAACTTGTTGGGACTTTACTCCCAGTACCAGAAGATATCAAAGCTGCTGTTACTGCAGAGGCTTCTCTGCAGCACTGTTAGGAATGAAGGGAAGGAGAACTGTTTGGTTTTAAAAGAAAAAAAGAGATACTCGTAGCTAAACCTGTGTGGGTTTAGCTGCTTACAGCTAAACCAGCTTTGATACCTCTTGTTAAATGGGTCAGTTCTTAATCACGGAACGGTGATGACGTTAAGTGTTCTGCTCAAAAGGCATTATTTCCCTTTGTAGTGATTTGCACAGTCTTTTTGTTGTGTTTTATTACTTCACCCTGTATCCCAGCTCCTTTTTACACACATCACCTCGGGATGTGTCGTCCAAAATGATGTGCTGAGTGTGACTGGTCAGATAATCCAAAATGTGCTGAGTGTGACTGGTCAGATACGTCGTGCACAGGAGAGATTGTTTGGAGGGTATTATTACAGAATTAAAGAAATCAGTATCTCAGAGCTTAAAAGCTTTTGTTAATACCTTTCAGAACATGATTGATAATAGTTCTTTCTGTATCTTGAACTCTGGTTTGAAGTGCTTTTTGGCACCGGTGGATGGGATGCGTGGTCAGTTCTCCAGCCACTTGCTTGGGAATTTGTCAGTCTCCCCAAATCACTGATGCAGCCTCGGTGGTTAGGCCCGACGTGACGTCTGTAATGTTCCTTAAGGCTGCAACTTCACTTTGCTTGAAAGTTTTAAGATTATTTCAGTAGTTACAGTGCAAGAAACAGTATAAATTTTCAGCAGAAAATACAGGCTTTGTTTTCAAGTGGTGATAATTTGGGTTGTTGTCTTTGGACAAGAAACTGAAAAATCCGAGGGTACTGGTCAGTGGGAGAGGGGGAAGATAAGCTACAGGCCACTGAGTGGGTCTTGTGGAGCAGGCACTCCTTGCTGTAACACTTCTTGGATTTTCCAGTCTTTGCGAAGTGACAGTGCTGTCAACCTGAAGCAGGGGCACCGCGTTCGGTGAGAGGAAACTCCAAACCGCCTGGCTTGTTACCAGGTTGGCGATACCCCCACCCCCCCAGCAAACCATTGCTGTAAACGGGACACACCTCGCTAATACCAAAGGACTGCTTGGTAAATCATGGCAGAATTTAGAGATCGGCAGCAGCTACATTTGCAGAAAACAGTACGGGGAGCGTAGTGCCTTTTGCGCTGTCGTGATACGATGTTGATAGTGGTCAGAACCTATATTCTGACCACTATATTCATTTTTTGCATTCCTAAAAGCTAGGTTGGAACGGAGGGGAATTGTTAAAAGTTCACGTCACTCCTGATCAAGCCAGCGTGTGAGACCCAGCAGCTCGGTAGGACCAGTCTTTCCATCGGCTGATGTGGAGACTCCAGTCGTCTCCGATACACGTGCAGCTTCTCCTGTAAACATACAGCGAAGCAGCAAGAATGTGCAGTATGTTCTCTCCTTCGTTCTGTGTTTTGGGCCACTCCCCCTGAAAACTGCCCCCGTTGCCTCAAATTATCAGGTTTTTAGGAGTTTTAGCCTAAAGCCAAGTGGCATCAGTGGAATAAACCACCTCAACCGAAGAGGGATGTTCCTGTTTGGGTATCTGAAAAGTATTTTTGGAAACACTTATATAGTTGTAATTCTGTGCCTGCCCTAAAGTATGGGAGAGAGTGTACTACGGACTTAAAGGGTTTGTCTGCCTGCTTTCTTCTTCTGTGCAGAGAGTGAACTTGGGCACAGAGCAGTGACATCTGGAAAATAAAAGTGTGCAGGAAAGTCTCATTTCTTTTAATATTTTAACTCAAACACAACTGTTACCATAACCATCGTCAGCAGTGCTTCGAGGAAGTTACAGCTGTTAGCATGTGGACCCAGGACTGTTACAGGCTAGGCTTTGGTTCAACAGCCCAAAAACTCCTTGGAATATGGGTCTTTAGTCTGTAATTGAGAAATTACCTTAAAAGTCCGTATCTGTCCTCGGTCCATGTCTACCTGCAGCTGGCTTTATGAAAACTCCTCCCACCCCAAACAGGCTGCATCTTTCACCTGGGTCAAAGTCAGTTCAGTGCCATACTGGTGGCTTCCTCTTCAGTACCGTACCCAGCGTGGAGAAGGTTTCAGAATTCGCAAATGGTGTGATACCTCGTCGCTAGTGCGGGGTTTACCGTACCAGAATGTGGTAGAATTAGGTGTGGAAGGCTGAGGGAAGCAAGGGAAAGATTGTTGTTAACTGAATAATAGGCCATCTCTTCTGCAAAACTGAGCATGTGGAATTGTTATCACATTACTCCAGTCGAGTCAACTGGTTTTGGACTCTACTCAAATCTCAGTTCGTAGAAAAATAACTCTTCTAGGCAAATTAGATTGCGAAATACTGCTGTGTCCTGGGCTAGGTAACCTGCTGTTGATTCTGAGTAATAACCTTTCCATTTGACTTTTTGATTACTTCAGATAAAGGTTTCCTTTTAAGTGATATCTGAGGATTAGACAGTTCAAAATTCTGTGCCTCCCAGGCACCTTCTGGCTTCTTTCTGAGCTGGGAGGGGGGGGAAATGACAGCACGAGCTTTGAACTGCCGCCTTCTTTGCTTTGTGTCACAGCCTTAAAATTATCGTCATGTTTGTCCTTTAATCTTGTGATGTTGCAGTGTGGAGGCTGTTTCTATGGTTCTGATTTTCAATTTTTAACTCCCTTCCCATCCGGAACACGGTCACTTTGTACGTCGGGCTGAAGATCCCGCCGTGTTCGCTCGTGCTGAGCACGCCCGCCCTGTGTGTGTCGTAGCTGCTTTGTAACTGTGCCGTCTGTGGGTTGTAGCTGTGGCGTGTCCCACGCGTTGAGATCGCTCACCGTGTCCCAGCGTGAGGCAGAAGAATTGGTATTTCTAGAGATGCTTGCTCGCCAAGGCCGTAGCGTTCCCACCAAGGTAAGAGCAATCCTAAACCGTTTGCAGACGCTTTTGTCTTTCTGAGTAGCGTTCAGATGATCCTGCGTACATGGAACTTGGTGTTTGCCATTTGCATTTACAATGAACGTTTAAACTTTAACGAGGAAGGGGTTAAAAATGATCCATTTTGGTTCACTTCTACTTTCAACTCTGCGGAATAGGAGCTCAGGCTCCCCGGTGCTGCTCAGTGGTGTCCCTGTGTGTTGTACCCCCGTGCAAGGGGATTTTGGAGCGTTTTGTTGTCTTCCCCAGCAGTTTTTTAACATTTGCAAGAGAAAAATCTTCCTGACACCAGGTTACGCACATGCTCTCCTCGCCTGACCCTGCTGAAGAGGTAGAACAAAAGCCTTTTCCCCCTTCTCTCTCTCGAGGCCAGACCCAACACCTTTGTAACCGCTGGTGGCTCTTTGCCGTGTCCCATCGCCGTGTTCCTCGTCAGATACCATTGGTGCGAGCTCTGGTTGATGCCATTTGTGCCATGTTTATAAATCGGGGTTTTATATTTTTGTACTGAAAGGAATCGGAGCACTTTAGAAAAGTTTATTTCACATCCCATTTCTGTTGGTACCTGGAAGGAAATCTCTCCCGAAAGCAGATCCTGTTGGCGTCACCGCGCGCGTCTCGCTCAGAGCTGTGAACTCTCCTGATGCTCTTTAGTCTTAGGTCTGGTTTCTAGGCCCACCTTGCACTGTAAGGATTTAATAACTAATCATGGTCCATGGTTAAGTTGACCATTTTGTTGGGGAAGCGTTTGGTTTTGGTTTTTGTTAGGGTGTAAACATTGTACATAGTTCCTATACTGTTGATACTGCAGTAGCAACATCTTTGTAGTCTTTATTTTATTTGTAAAGTCGATGGTTCAATGTTAATATTCTGTTGAATTGTGCACTCTCGGTTAATTGTAAACTTGATCTTAACACACCAAATGATGATTTTTACAATGATTGCAATGTTTCTCCACTGAAGGATTTCAGAGCTGCAATAGGACTGAAACCAACTTCTAGCAATAAAAAAAAATCATTTAAAAATTATCTGCCTTTATATATGTTATTATTTATATTTTTTATTATTTGAACCAAAAGCAGCAGCAGCTGCTTCTCACGTGCTTCTCATTTTCT